AAAGGTTTGATATTATTTTGACTTTATTAAATAAATGCATCGTAAAATTCATATGCATGTAATTGTTGGAAAATGAACCAAATATGTGATTTTCTGATTACAGACGGATCCAAATCTTATTACTTAGTAGAGGTTAAAACTATCAGCCAAGAACAAAAGCTTATGTCATCCACTTTGCAGTAGAGGATTAAATAAAGCAGGTGCTTCATTTACTAACTCACAAGACACAGTATCCCACAAACTAAGAACTAACCAAACTTGGCATTTAGTTGAACAGAGTAGGCTTTATATGGAGGTAATTCCAGAATCTCCAGAACCTTAGCATCAGGGTGAAGGTGGCCATAGCAGCGTGAGGTGTGTGCTATTTGTCTCCTGACTGCCAGCACCTCCCTTTTGTGCTGACACCCCAGTCTCTCACACCTCTTCAGCTGTGGAAGACATAAGAAAACCTAATCTATAAGACCCCAAATTCGCATGATCCCTTCCTTTTGTAAAGAACCACCCTTAGAACCCCGCCCCCCCCCCAAACTCAAGCTTTTCACTGTGTGTTTAATATGATGATAAATTCTATCCGTTGAGATTAGCCAGAGAGGATGGTGTGGTTCGTGCGTGCTTTATATTGCATGTAGCCATTTAACAGGGACATAGTATCTAAAGATCTTCCACATTAAGAAACAGGAATTGTCTTGTGCTCTTTTTTTTTTTTTACTCTATTTTTTTGATACATCATTAAATGTCATGAAACCTCAATTTGCTCTCTCAAAAGGAAATGTAACTTAATTCTCAGGATGGTTATCAACTTCAAAGTGACTAAGTCACAGAAAAACAAAAGGCCAGGAGAGTTAATGCCACACGTGAGAAATGCTTCAGGAAATGACAGTGTGCTAGACATCTGTACATTTGGTAATAACACACTAACTCTGGCCAATTTTACACAAATCCTACAGTAAATAATACTTCAAAAGGAAAATATAACTTCCAGTTACTCCTGGGCATTTCAAGAAATCTCAGCAGAAGTCCTGCACTTAATTTTTGTTCTGTTTTCTGTTAGCCGTGATAACCAGTTATGTCTTTGCTCTGATCCATGTAATTAATCAATATCTTGGAAACAAAATAAAAAAAAAACCTAAGATTAAGAGTGCGATAGGAATTTGAAATTTGAAAAAAAACCTTTATGCAAATCTTCAGCAATTGCTGATCTAAAACAGCTGTTATCTATCGCACCCAAGAAGCTGAGCCACAGCGGTCAATACCTGCTGCTTCGGATTTTCCTTTTGAAGACTTTTTCTTTGTTGTCCACCCATTTTTAATAAAAGGATTTACCTGACAAATCCAGTTTTAATCTGCATGGATTATGTGTATGCTAAAAAAAAAAAAAAAAAAAAAAAAAAAAAAAAAAAAAACGACCTAGACCATAGAAAAAGAAGAGAAAATTTTCAGAAAAATGATTTGCTCTGAGTGGTGGGGAAAGAAAATAATCTAAATTTAATCACTATCTTTTTAATACTAAAATATACAAGAAATATTGGAAGCACAGATTCAGCCATGAGGAAAAAAGTATAAAAGGCCAAGTCCAATTATTCATGGGTACCACCCAACAGGAAGGCCAGGAAACAAAGACAGCAGAATTGGGAATGAAATAACTTTACTATCTGTGACATATTCACTGAGGATATCACTGAAAATTTGCTCTGATATGTTGTACATTTGTTACAATAATTGAAAGAAAAGTTATTTTGCTTGAATTCCATATTAGCATTTAGAAAAAGTTCCTAACTTCTCTTAGGTTTATGGAAAATAATGTCCAAAATCCTACAAATGCACACGTTAGGCAATTTACATGTAAAATATAATCATCCTAAAATAATTAGCTTATTAAATCTGTATTTTCTTCATACTAAAAACAGCTATCACATAGAAATTGTCATGTTTATAATACTAATTTTTATGCATTATTTTAACTGTTACTCATTGCCAAAAGAGATTTAAATGGTTTAGCTGCAGTTAAACAGAAGTGAACAAGTTTTAAGAATTTAAAATCTATTGAATGAATGAAAACAAAACTGATATGCAACAAAATTTTTCATTAGAAAAAGCATTGTTTGATCACTATGGAAAGAAGGTAAGCATCTCTAAGAGCCAATATGAAGTCACTTACAAATAATTTGATTAAACAAAGTTAATTTTTTCCCATTGGAATGTTAGAAGTTCTAAAATAAGACAAACACTGTAGACAGATATTATTTGATGAGGCTATTCGATAAAAGAATCTGGAGAAAAATCTTGTAGTGCCATTTTAATTAAAAAAAAAATGTTTTGATCAGGTGGATCTCATGTAGACTGGCCTCCATCTTGCTATGTACCCTAAACTCTTATCCCCCTGTCTTCACTGCCCAGGCGGTAGATTTACAGACATGAGCCACTATTCCTACTCTTGTTAGACATGCAGGGAGAAACATAAAATTTGCTAGAATTCCCAGATGGTAAAATAAACCTCTGAGAAAATCATGATTGACGAGTTATTACAATCTGAATGACAATCCAGCCTTTTTATCATGCCATTATGGGTGCGCCCTAGAGTTCATGAATACAAAAATGACCTTTCAAAGAAAAGTTAATGTGACTCTGATTAATAATCAAAAAGTATTATCTGTCTCAATCACAGATCCTGCTGTCCTCTCTGATGTGACATCAATATCTAAAGTGCTGAATTTGGTTATATTTGACTCATAGTTTACAGGAGACTTGACGAGTACAATCTTACTCAGAGAAAGCATCCAGGGTGTATGTATTTGAAAGTAGACAATGTAAACATTGGTCGAAAGTATAAATTGTGTGTTGTCTTTAATTTGTCTAGGATGGGGCATGCTGGCATATTGTATCGTAGATTAAATTGTTAACTTAACATTGACTAGAGTCATCTGAGAAAGGGATCTCAATTGAGAGATTGCCAAGATCACACTGACTTGTGGGCATATCTGTGAATGATTGTCTTCACTGCTATTAATGTAGGAGGTCCTAGCCACTGTGGGTGGCATCATTCCCTTGGCAGGCAGTCCTGAGATATGTATGAAAGCTATCTAAGCTTGAAACAGTAAGCTGGCAAACAAAATCCCTCCATGCTTTTAATTCTCCTTGAGTTCGTGCCCTGATTTCCCTCGTTTATGGACTGTGATCTAGGGGCGCAATCCAAATAAACCGTCTCCTCCTCTAAGTTGTTCTGGTCGGAGTAATTTAGCAGAGCAATAGAAAGGAAACTAAAATAGCTACAAATATCTGAGTGTCGTTAGAAGGAACACCGACTGGTTTTAAGCAGTCCAAATAGAAATAGGACTAGTAGCTAGGAAGTGGTTTTGAGCTACACAAAAAAAATATTTAGTAAGAATATACTGCTCCAATAATGGCCTAGTGACTGAGCTTCTCTGAGCATGTTTTCTCACCCATGGCTATCCATACCGAGGACAAGAGGTGGCACAGTGACTGGGAACACAGAGGTAAGGGACAGAAATGGCCAACTGCTATAAAACATGAAGATGGCACTGACTGTTTCTAGGGCTCTAGCGAATTTAACTCATTGCTGAGGATTTTTTCCAGAGTTTTGCAACTAATGTAAAACACATGTATTATGGCCAACTATGTGCAAATACTCAGTTAAGAAAAGAGAATTAGAAAAACAAAATTTTCTGGACTTTTGTATTCCATATCTGGGATGATTGGACAATAAATAAAGAAGTAGGTTATATATCAGAATGCAGGGGCAAGAAATACATAAGAAGAAACACAGAAATATAAAATTTTAACAAATATCAGGATATCCACAATAAGAAAACAATGTTTTAGAAAGGAAGCATTGATTTCTTTAGCATTTACAGAAGAATTAATTTTATTATGATATCCAAAAGAAGACAACTGTAATAAAATGCTGTGTAATCTGGATGCTATTTCATCACAGCACCATGGGTTATAGTTTATATTTCTAAAATTTGTATGATTATCTCAAAATGTGTTTGTAAATGGGGTTCTAAAAATATCTAATTCTCTGAAATACAGTTACTAAGGTACTTAAAACCAGTATCGGTGACGATTCTGGCAATTCATCTTGGGTAAAAGGAGGATGGGGATACACCAGCAACAAAAAAGGAAAACTGTGTGATGACATGAACAGAAGACAGATGTCTCCAAGACATTAGATTCATCTCAGCCTTCTACCTCCACATCCCGCAAGAAATATGCTTCTATTGTTTAAACCCTTTGATCTGCATGACCTTGTGAAGGGAACCTAGGCAAACACACAGAGAATTTGCCAGCAGCATATGAACACCATCTAAATCTAAAAGACTGCATTAGCCAGAGTATTGGAGCAATTCAAAATCTTTTCAAGTCATTTATATTTAGAATTTACATAGAAATTTTTGGTTTTTCAGTATTTATTCTTTTAACCTTGAATTTCACTAAAAATCAGAAACAGAATCCCATTTCATCTTGGTAAAGACCTAACAAAAATAGCAAGGGTTTTACATCTGAAAATAGCAGGCATAGCAGGTATTAAGAAATATGTAAGCTTTCAACATAGAGAAAACATTTAGTTTCTGTTAGTATGCATACAGTTCAATTTATTAAGTTTGACGAAGTTGGACAAGGCAACTCATAAGCTCTTCGAAAGTGCTTATGCTCTAGTAACAGCTGATCTCACAGGAACTACCACCTTAAATTTTCCACAGGAATTAACTCCTGCCTCAATCAAGTTTCCCACAATTGCCCAAAGAGCTTAAAACAGCTCTGCTGCTATGGTAATTCTGCCACGAATAGGGAATAGTGAATGCATTTAAAGAGTTCTGTATAAAAAGAATGCTTATTTCTGTTCTTTGTGGATGTTATCTTAGTGCTTTCTCTCCCCTGGCCCCCAAAATGTGTGAGTGTTAGTGTGTGTTATGGATTTAACAAAACTAATAAATATACTTTTTGTTATGGATTTAACAAAAATAAATTAATATACTTACAAGTTCTGTTAATTTTGATGTTCTCTCAAAATCTTCACCTTCCTCCATGAGAGTTTCTTCAGTCCCAGGTAAAGAATCTATTTTAATTTTTAAAAATAGAAGTTACACATTGTTAATGCATAAATACATATATTTATGACGGTAAGAGGATATCGACATAATTGAACTACTTATTCAAATTATCATGATGTTTATGAGTAGACTTTAATGATATTTATTCACGTTATAGATATATGTGCAAATAAACATATTTCTAATTCAGAAGTGTATAATAAAATCAAAAATGTACAAGAGCTAGTTACTTTATTTTTACATATAAAGCAATACTTCTGACTGGAAAGATGTCTTACAACCACCTGCAACTACAGCTCCAGGGAACCTAGCAGTCTATTTTGGCCTCTGTGGGCAACTGCACTTAGGTGCACATACGCACACACACACACACACACACACACACACACACACACACACACCATACACACACGACCTCTATAATTAAAAGCAAAAATAAGTATAAAATGAGGTAAACACAACTCTTGGGATTTATTCAGCTATATTTTGGTATATATCTATTTTTAATGTCTGTTTTCTATTTTGCAATGTTATACTTATTTGTTTAATGATTTCTTTTAGATGAGGAAAAGGTTATGCAATTTAAGTATCAATTCCATCAATTGGTATTCTTTCTTTTAATTCAGATGACAAAATGTGAAGGAGTCAAAAAGGGTGCAAATTATTAAATGCTGTAGGTTTTTAATTTTTATTAATTAATCAAGAGATTAATTTTTCCCAGCCCTATTATTTTCTACTTTCATTTTCCTTCCCATTCTGTCTCAGAAATCTCCCTACTCCTCCATCTACTTTCTTTCTCCTTCAGAAATAGTGCAACACTTCCAAGTATATCAGCCAGCCTTGGGATAGAAAGTTGCAGAAAGTCTAGGCATCCTGTCTTCTATCAAGCCTGGGTGAGGCAACCCAGCAGGAGAAAAGGGACCCAAGAGTAGGCAACAGAATTAGAGAACAGCCTCTCCCCTTAGCTCCCTCTACTGAGAATCCCACAACAAGACCAAACCACACAATTGTAGCACATGCGTGCTGTGGAAACTCCTTCAGCCAATAGCCTTTTAGATACCAGTCCATTTGGACATGGTCTGAGGTACTATAAGTGCAGACAAAAAGCATGCATGGCCTTTTTTTTTTTTTCTGGATTCAGTTTCCAGATTCCAGCACCCACAGAGGACTGTGGATCTCTACCCATACTGTGAGTTTTATCCCCAAATAAATAAACCTTGTTATACTCCATTCCAGGCTATTGTGGACCTCTTTAATATGCCTACATTTTGGCTCCCAACACGTCTAAGATAATTTGTATATTGACACAAATTCAAATTATATTTTTATACTGTGTATGTTATTATTTCTGCTTATAATTATTGTACACATATACAAGTTATTTTGTCATATTGTATGCATGCATCTACCTTTTCTTAAGATATTTTGTATATTGATGCAATTTTAGGAGTTTTATCATATTGTAACTCTGATCAAGATACTTATATATGTATTTTTTACATTTTGCGTCATTGTCCTCATTTGTTGCATATCTCTTTAATTTATAATGTGAAGCCTTAATCTTTAAGTTATATAGGTACTAAGAATTATATGTCAATAGTCATCCATGGTTGTCATACTTATAGTTAGACTAGTCAGGTTCTCTAGATACACAGAGATTGTACTCCACATAGATAGGCAATCTTCAAACACTTCAAAGAACTTTAGAATATTGCATTTAAATAATTCAGGATTCTGTTGACATGAAACACAATTGCTCCAGGCAGCACCAATATATTCCTGAGAGAATGTTGGGTACCAACGATACTCCACTTGGAGCTTGTTTTCTTCTTGGCAAAACTGGCCTTTGGTCAAAGAACTGCCTTTTCTTCAACTGCTGATAATATTGTCTAAGATGGGCAAGCAGGATAAAAGCAAAAGCCAATACCAAAACTTGCCAAGATAAGGTCTTTCAAATTGTCCTGCCTCTGAAAATGGTCTGTCAGATAGTCTAGGCCAAAATTGGTTGCCCCAATGTTGCAAATGAGACTTTGGGTGATTGACCAGGGATCTGGTTGTCTCTGCCATTTCTTTCACTTTTTGGAAGTTGCTTGATTGCACTTACTTCTAAATCAGGTAATATTATTTCTCTTCTCAGGTCTTTGATAGGGTTGAAGACTAGATAGTCATAGTTATTTTCCTCTAATAACTTAGCAAGACATTTTAATATAATATTTAGACTCCTCAGGATTGTCTAACTATTGAAATAATCTCTGCTATTTGCTAATTATCTTAGACTGGACATTTAGCATATGTTTCTTGCCTGATGCTAGTCATGCTGGTTGTAGTTCAAATTTTTATGTGTGTTTTGCCTCTTCTTTTCCCTGGATAATGTTTGATATTTGTTCTTATTGTATATAGTTTTGTATTAGGTTTAGAAACCTTTTATTTAGACAAAAAGGGGGAGTGATGTGGGAACTCCTTCAGTCAATAGCCTTTTAGATATCAGCCCATTTAGGAAAGGGCCTAAGGGGAAAAACGTACAGATGAAAAGCATGTGAGGCCTGGTGTTTTGCTGGATTCAGTTCCCAGCTTCCAGCACCCATAGAGGACTGTGGATCTCTTACTGTGTGTTTTATCATCAAATAAATAAATCTTTGTTATACTGCATTCCAGGCTATTTTATGCACATACACATGTGCAGAGGGTCCAGGTCAGTCCCATTCAAGGCCTCTGGTTGGTGGTTCAATCTCTGTGAACACCCATGAGTCCAAGTCAGTTGACTCTGTATGTTTTCTTGTGGTTTCTTTGTCCCTTGGGCTCTGATAATCCTTCCTCTTCCACTTGCACAGGATTTCCCAAGGTCCACCTAATGGTTGGTTATGGGTTTCTGCATCTGTTCCCATCAGTTGCTGAGTGAAGCCTCTTTGAATGGTAGAGGTTTTATTCATTCACCATATCAAGCAAGAAGTTGTGACTGTTTAGTATAAATCTTAGAGAAGTGGGTGAGTGGTGGCTTTCAATTACATGAATAAAATGGTGGGAACCCCTTATATAGGTTGCCAATTTAGGTTAATTAGTGCAATATAGAAAGGTATTTATGGTTTCTAGACAAGTCTGTAATACTGATAATTATACGTCACATCTATATTCTATACCAGAAGCCATCAACTTCCCTAGTTAAATTTAATTTCATATGTTGAAATTTTAAAAATCAGTTTAGAAAAAAGTATTTTAGACTACTGGGCTTTATAAACTTGATTCTTATATTTATTAATATTAAAGGAGTCCTGATAAAAGAAGCTTCTTTTTATAGCAAAGGGAGATGAATAAAGAAAACTAAATCTAGACACAATTCAGGAAACAATAGATAATATGAAGCCCTGTCTTAATATAAGCACCTACACTTCAGCTCCTGCATGGATGAACTGGGAAACATAGGAGAAGGGAGGGCTGAAAGAATTTAAGAGCCAGAATACCAGGAAGTCTACTGATAAAATTGTCTCTGCTACAAATAGCTACATTAAGGAGACTGGAACAAGAACAGTATCATGGTAACGTGTAAGGGAGAAATTTTTATCAAATCCATCCCTAGACAAAGAACTGTAGACAACTATTGACAGCTGAAAGAAGAATAATCGCCTCTCTCAGAAATAAGTTTTCTTATTGGTTATCAAATACAGAATGGTCAGCCCTGAATTCATATATATATAAAATATATGATTATATATATACATATATATGTGTGTGTGTGTGTATACACACAACAAAGGTAAATTTTACAACATGTGTTTATATATTTGTGCTTACATATAAATAGGTATGTAATAATAGTGATAATCAATGAAAATAAACAATTTCAGGGGAAAACATGAAAAGGGTTAGAATGAGAGTATCTGGGAGGGGCTGGAGGGTGGAAACAGGGAAGTTTTCTATTTTAATTTAAAATATATTTTTAAAGCCATATGATTATATAAAAATCATTTAACTCATGTGCAAATGGGGATAGATTTTCCTAATGCATGAAATAAGTACTCTGGGCAAGATGTTATAATGTTGAAAACTTCAAGCCCCTTATGGTCAGTGAGTAGGGAAACACTGAAAAACATGGCACAAGTCCAAGATTGTAGCTCATGGCATTTTTATCTCCAGTTATTCAGTGTTTCATTAAATTTCTTTGGTATAAACTTATCTCTATATAAACATAGGTATCACTGTAGAACACAGAGTGCCCTCCACTATGATACTAACTCAAGGGAAAACATAAATTAAGATAATTTACCTACAGCACTTCTAAACAGAGTAGATCCATTAAAAGTAGCATATTTTAGTTGATAAAGTCAAGATGGAAAACGAAAAATGTACCAAGCAAAGAAATAGCCATTCAATTACAAATAATACTTTAGCACCTATCTATTAAAAGCAACTTTTAACAGCTTATACACTAGTATGGATAGGCCCATCAAATCAAGATGCGAGCTGGACTTTAATTGAATCTTCTAAAATTAAGCTAAAACTCTATCCAGGGAAATAGGTAGGCTAACTCAAGATCTTCATCTCCTTCTCCCCTCCTCCAGTTCCAAACCCACAGGCTCATGTGGAGTTCTGCAGCAGACCTTCTGCTGTGATCTCTCCTCACTCTCTGCACCCAACCTCAGGGGACGAACTAAGTAGATCCCAGTGCAACACACTGCTTTCCTCCCTCCTGTGAAATTCCCCCCCCCCCAGTTCATCCACATTCCTAAGTGTTTGTTCCCAATACCCAGGAATACATTCTTAGTTGGAGCTCCACTGGCCACACCAAAAAGAACCAAAAGAATTTCCCATGAGGCAACACAGATATCACACTCTCCTAAGAATGAGGGAAAAAACAGAAACCAAGGAACAAAATGCATACCCAACAAAGAGAAGACTAGATATTAGCACCTAGAATTACATTCTTCCCAAACCCAGTGCTTAAATACTAGCATAAAAACATAATCAATAGAAACCCAACTAAAACATGTCTCCACTAAAGCTCTGCAAC